AAAAAAAAAAAAAAAATCTATGGAAAAATTAAATTATTTTCAACTTACAATTCTAAATTCAATTAAGCCATCAATCAAATGTAAAGCATAAAGACTTTTCAGACATGCAAACTACCTCTCATACACCTTTTCTCAGGAAGTTACTATGAGCTGCACTTCACCAAAATGAGAGAATAAACCAAGAAAGAGAAAGACAGGATCTAGGGTACAGAAGTTTCAGCACAGGAGAGATAGAAGATAAAAGAAATTCAAAGGAAAATGATAAAAAGAAGGCCAAAAAAGAGTAAAACAGTCCAGAATGACGTAGGAAGATGGAGGGCCCCTGGAAGTATTTCATGAAGAAAAAAGTATGTATACGATGCAATTAGAATTCTTTGATTTACATTGAGAGAAATTTTACAACTCTGGTAAAGCTTGGGCTGTACCTAATAAGGATATGGAAAGGGAAAGTTGGCAGGGTAGAGACACACCTATGTAAAAAGTGTGATGTAAGTGAAACAAATCCTCGTCCTCCATAGTAAATCAATAGATAAAGTGAGGGGAAAAAAGCTAAAAAGGCTGAAAAGTGCAATTTGCCTATTGAGCAGCAATCACAAATAGAGAGGTAGGTGGCATAAAACTGCTGGCTGTTTTTATTTGTTTCTGTGTATATGTGTGTGTACATATGTAATTACCTCTGAGTATATATGTACATATACACATGTGGAATTATGACTTAAACACGTATGTACATGTATTACTTTGACCAAAATAAAGATTTTTATCACACACACACACAAAATAATAGTGGCAGCAAAAGTGAAAGGTTATTTTGTCACTGCCTTTAAAACTGCTTCTCAGGGAGAAGTTTTTTCCCTGAGAAAAAACATTACCACCATCATCAAAGACTTCCTAAGAATCTATTTCAAAATGCTGCATTCTGGGATCAAAGGAACAAATTTACATGATTCTATTTACCACAGAAAAAAATTAAAATTTATTAAGAAAAATCATCAGTTTTTTGTTTTGGTGAGGAAGACTGGCCCTGAGCTAACACCTGTTTGCCCATCTTCCTCTATTTTGTACGTGGGATGCCACCACAGCATGGCTTGATGAGTAGTGCATTGGTCCACGCCCAGGATTCGAACCTGTAAACCCCAGGCCACCAAAGCAGAGCATGCGAACTTAACCACTACACCACCAGGCTGGCCCTGTTTTTGTTTTATTTTTTTGCTGAGGAAGATTCACCCTGAGCTAACATCTGTTGCCAATTTTTCTCTTTTTTCTTTTTTTTCTTGAGGAGGATCAGCCCTGAGCTAACATCTGTGCCAGTCTTCCTCTACTTTGTATATGGGATGCCGCCACAGCATGGCCATCAAGTGGCATAGGTCCATGCCTGAGATCCAAACCCATGAACCCGGGCCACCAAAGTGGACCACACCAAACCCAACCACTATGCCATGAGGCCGGCCCCTAGATAGTTTTTTTAAGACAAACGTGTAATTCAAACTATTCTCACCCATTACCTACCTCTCAAAAACTTGCAACATGAAAGAGAGAGACCAAGCAATCAACATCAGAAAAAGTGGACCCTCAAAGTAAACATCTTATAGGAAATAGAAATTTAAAAGAAGGAAGACACGGGGCCAGCCCAGTGGCGCAAGCGGTTAAGTGTGCACTCTGCTGCGGCGGCCCAGGGTTCGCCAGTTCAGATCCCGGGCACGCACCGACGTACCACTTGTCAGGTCATGCTGTGGCGGCGTCCCATATAAAGTGGAGGAAGATGGGCATGGATGTTAGCCCAGGGCCAGTCTTCCTCAGCAAAAAGAGGAGGATGGGCAGATGTTAGCTCAGAGCCAGTCTTCCGCACAAAAAAAAAAAAAAAGAAGAAGAAGACACACTATCTTCAGAGACAATTGAGAAGTTACTGCATCCATAAAACAAGAAAGGGATGCTATGTTTAAAAAAAAAAATCAAAGAACAAAAATAATTGGAATTAAAAATATGCTTGGGGCCGGCCCCGTGGCTTAGCGGTTAAGTGCGCGCACTCCGCTGCTGGCGGCCAGGGTTCGGATCCCGGGCGCGCACCAACGCACCGCTTCTCCGGCCATGCTGAGGCTGTGTCCCACATACAGCAACTAGAAGGATGTGCAACTATGACATACAACTATCTACTGGGGCTTTGGGGAAAAAAAGGAGGAGGATTGGCAATAGATGTTAGCTCAGAGCCGGTCTTCCTCACAAAAAAAAAAAAAAATGTGCTTGATGCCAAAAATTCACAAACTGTATGAATCTATATAACATTCTCAAAATGATAAAATTGTAGAAAGGAAAAACAAATTAGTGGTTGCCAGAGGTTAAGGATGGTGAGAGGGAGTGTGGTGGGCATAACTATAAAGGGGGCCTGCCCCATGGCTTAGCAGTAAAGTGCTCGTGCTCCACTACTGGCGGCCTGGGTTCAGATCCCAGGTGCGCACCGACACACCACTTGTCCAGCCATGCTGAGGCAGCGTCCCACATACAGCACCTAGAAGGATGTGTAACTATGACATACAACTATCTACTGGGGCTTTGGGGAGAAAAAGGGGAAAAAAAATAATAATAATAAAAAAAATAAACGGGTAGCCTAAGGGAGATCTCTGTGGAGAGGGAATAGTTCTGTGTCTTGATGGTGGTAGTGGTTACATGAATCTACACGTGATAAAATGATATAGAACACCTCATACCATTGTGAATTTCTTGGTTTTGATGTTTTAATATAGTTATATAAGATGTAACCATTGGGAAAAACTGGGTGAAGGGCACAGGAGACCTCTCTGTACTATTTCTGCAAACTGCTATGAATCTATAATCACCCTGAAATAAAAGTTTTTTAAAAATATACATTCCTCGGGCTGGCCCCCTGGCATAGCGGTTAAGTACGAGTGCTCCGCTGCTGGCGGCCAGGGTTCGGATCCAGGGCGCACACCAACGCACCGCTTCTCTGGCCATGGTGTGGCGGTGTCCCACATAAAGTGGAGGAAGATGAGTACAGATGTTAGCTCAGGGCCAGTCTTCCTCAACCCAAAGAGGACGATTGGCATGGATGTCAGCTCAGGGCTAATCTTCCTCACAAACAAAAATTAAATAAATAAATAAATAAAATAAATTAAAAATTAAAAAAAATATACACATTTCTCACAGCTACCATCATACTTAATGGTGAAAGACTCAAAGCTTTTCCCCTAAGCTCAAGAACAAGACAAATATGTCTCCTCTCATCACTTCTATTCAACCCGGTACTCAAGGTTCTAGCCAGGACAATTTAGGCAAAAAAAGAAATAAAGATATTCAGATTAGAAAGAAGAAATAAAACTATCTTTATTGCCAATGACATGATCTTATATATAGAAAATCCTAAAGAATCCACACAAAAAAATATTAAAACAAATGACCTGGGCCGGCCCTGTGGCTTAGCGGTTAAGTGCGCGCGCTCCGCTGCTAGCGGCCCGGGTTCGGATCCCGGGCACGCACCGCTTCTCCGGCCACGCTGAGGCCGCGTCCCACATACAGCAACTAGAAGGATGTGCAGCTATGACATACAACTATCTACTGGGGCTTTGGGGGGGAAAAAATAAACAAATAAAATCTTAAAAAAAAAAAAACAAATGACCTCAGCAAAGTTGCAAGATACAAGATCAATACACAAA